AGAAACGTGTAGATAACTTGGCACCAGTAAATGAGGTGCAATACTGCATATCCAAAATAAGAAATTTATTAAGAAAATAATACTACAGGCGTGTGTGGATGGTGCTAAATACCGAGTTGAATTCACAAAACCCATAACCACCTTGACTACTTGTGGTGCAATACAGTTTCAGCATCCATAACTGGACCATAGCTGACATTGTGAATGCTTCCCACTTAAAATCGCCTAGATCATCCCAAAGCTGATGATGATTGTGTGTATGTGCCCAGATCAGAAGGAGGAAGAGGATTAGTTCAACTAGAATAGTTTTACATAACCACAACAATCGTTCTTCAAAGATAGCTGGAAACTACAGAAGACTGGGTCATGATCTGTGTCAAAGAACATGAAAGAAGGAACTGTATTTAAAGGAAGCCAACAAATTCAAAATGGAGTGGAGGAAGAAATGCAAGTAAAACATAAGACACCTTCTACAGTGACAGAATGTTCAAAAAGAAAGCAATAGGAAATAATATCGACCAGATACAGAGACGATGGCAAAGATAAGCCTCTTTATGGTCAATATTCTGCCCGTACCAAATAAGCTGACATAGATAAACCCCGTATCCATCAGTGGTTACGTGATGCAGGGTTAAAAGCTGAAACCTAAGTGAACCAATACTTGCTAATTAGAAATTGCTAAGCACACTGTCTATATTTCTGAGATGAGGTATTATGTACACTATTTAAATTATTCAGACTATTGTCGTCATCTTTGTCGCCATATTTATTACAACGTTTTGGCCCTTTAGTATCTGTCTGTATTTCTGAGATGATGTATTATGTACACTATTTACATTATTCAGACTATTGTCGTCATCTTTGTCGCCATATTTATTACAACGTTTCGGCCCTTCAGTATCTGTCTATATTTCTGAGATGAGGTATTATGTACACTATTTAAATTATTCAGACTATTGTCCTCATCTTTGTCGCCATATTTATTACAACGTTTGGACCCTTCAGTATCTGTTTATATTTCTGAGATGAGGTATTATGTATACTATTTAAATTATTCAGACTATTGTCCTCATCTTTGTCGCCATATTTATTACAACGTTTCGGCCCTTCAGTATCTGTCTATATTTCTGAGATGAGGTATTATGTACACTATTTAAATTATTCAGACTATTGTCGTCATCTTTGTCGCCATATTTATTACAACGTTTGGGCCCTTCAGTATCTGTTTATATTTCTAAAATGAGGTATTATGTATACTATTTACATTATGCAGACTATTGTCCTCATCTTTGTCGCCATATTTATTACAACGCTTCGACCCTTCAGTATCTGTCTATATTTCTGAGATGAGGTATTATGTACACTATTTAAATTATTCAGACTATTGTCGTCATCTTTGTCGCCATATTTATTACAACGTTTCGGCCCTTCAGTATCTGTCTATATTTCTGAGATGAGGTATTATGTACACTATTTAAATTATTCAGACTATTGTCGTCATCTTTGTCGCCATATTTATTACAACGTTTCGGCCCTTCAGTATCTGTTTATATTTCTAAAATGAGGTATTATGTATACTATTTACATTATGCAGACTATTGTCTTCATCTTTGTCGCCATATTTATTACAACGCTTCGACCCTTCAGTATCTGTCTATATTTCTGAGATGAGGTATTATGTACACTATTTAAATTATTCAGACTATTGTCGTCATCTTTGTCGCCATATTTATTACAACGTTTCGGCCCTTCAGTATCTGTCTATATTTCTGAGATGAGGTATTATGTACACTATTTACATTATTCAGACTATTGTCCTCATTTTTTTGCCATATTTATTACAAGAGGGAAATTAACAGGAGATAACTGATAACTGACATTCATTAAACATGGCACGTGGATCTAGAACAGTCTACCCCAGTGAGCAAAATAATAGATTCAGTTCGACATTCCGACCACCTGAAGAAGGCCGGAGCGCACAATGGCCGAAACGTTTTAATAACTATGGCGACAAAGATGAGGACAATAGTCCGAATAATGTAAATAGTCCTGAGCATACATACTGAATAATTGTTACACTGTATTGGCACCCACTGAATATAAAAGCCAGCAGTACAATGTTGGCCAATATCTGCATTAGAAAACCTGCAACTTTTACGAAAAGGAAACTACAAGAAATTGGTGTGAGATAGGGCCTGCAATAATTTGATGGGACTTAAAACACACGGACAGAAAAATCAAAGCTGATCGTCCAGACATTCTGATCAGAGACTGCAAAAAACAGAATATATTTTCCTCTTGACATGGAAGTTCCTGTAGATTGTAAAATATATTTGTAGATCTCAAAAAAAAAAACCAAAAAAAAAAACCCAAAAAAAACTATCAAAATACAAAAATCTTGAAGTGGAAATCTAAAACTTTGGCACATGAGGACATCAACAATGTCAGTTGTAGTTTAAAATGGTTCTGATAGACTAATTGAAGACATGCGTGGTAGACCAAGTCTTAAAAAAATACAAAAAAAAAAAAAATTATACTCACAAGTATAGCGCAAACCTTACTTTTTTTTAATTCTCAGTGGAAAAATGTTATGATGCCGGAAGTAAATGTGTATGCAACAGATTCAGAGGAAATAATAATAACTAGTAGTATCTGTGATAATTTCACTGTTTTCCTATTTGAATTTTCTGATGAATCTTAATTTTAAAATTAATGATTGAAGAAGCTCATAGCGAGTTGTACGACTATAAATACCCATGGAATTTCCCCTATTGCGTCATGAAATATTTGAGCTTAACAGTTTAACAAAACAAATCATAAATATGAATGCAGGTCATTAGTTAAAGAAGTAAGAGGGTACAAATGAAAATATTTTAAATTGACAAGCCTTATTACCTCTTTAATTATCTTTTTTTTTCTCTTTTCATTCTCACGATCAACACAGAATAGGGCGTAACCTATATGCTAAGGAAAGAAAGAAAACTACTACTACTACTATTACTGCTACTAATACTACTACTACTGCTACTACTACTACTACTACTAGAATGTTTGGATTCATACCTTTCGCAAGGGTATTTTCGGGTAAATGATTATAACGAACTCGACGGGATCTGAACTCGGCTCTCCGATTTCCAATTCCGAGGCATTATCCATTCCACCACCCACACTTCCAAGCGCCCTTGCATGGAGTATGGCTGCCATATATGGTCTGGGGCACCTTCTGTTTACCTAGGAGTTCTTGACAAGATCCAGAGACGGATATGTAATATAATTCGCCCTGACCTGGCGTCTCATCTACAGTCACTCTCTCAGAGACGTGCCGTCGCCTCTCTCTGTCTTTTCTACAAATAGCAATGGCAATTGCTTCGATGAGCTGCTTTCACGCGCCCTACGAGGCTGGCATCCCGCTCCCACCCTTACACTGTAGAAACTTTTAAATGTAGCCGTCTCTTCTACTCTAATAGCTTTATACCTCGCACCTCTCGCCTGTGGGGCACACTTCCTAATTACTGTTTCCCTGAGAGCTATAATCTCAAACTATTCAAATGTAATGTCAATCGACATCTCCAGTTACCTTGATCTATCCACTATCCCTCTCCTCATCCTTTCTTCTATCACTCCTATCTGCTTTTGCTCCAAATCTTCTGCAACCCCCTGCATCCTAGTGGCTTCACGCCTTGCTCGGGCGTAATGCTTAAAAAAAGAAAAAAAAGAATAGGGTCGGTAACCGTACGAGGACAGGTAATATGGCCGAGGAATGAGGTGAAGAATAAAGAAGAAAAAATGGAGAATAAATAGTTGAAGTGACAGTCAGAGGAGAAAAAGTGTGACGGCAGCAGATATAAAAATAGAGACAAAAGAAGAAAAAAATACCAAAATTGGTGAAGAATGAGAGAAAGAAAAAAAGAAATGAACGATTTGGTGTTCAGGTGACATAAACATTGAGTATGAGAAGCGAGAAGGTGAAAAATAAAATATTAAAATACCTTGAGAAAAGGTATGACTCCACCTATTCTCCCCAGCTATGGGTTAATTAGTAAAAATTGTATCAGCAAATCATTATTATCCCCAAACATTCTTACGACCTAAAAATATTTTCTGGCTTTAAATAACCTACAAAAGGTTGATAATCCGTAAAAAAGAAATCAATCCTCCCTCTTGGTCAATACTGTTTCTTCTTCTCTGTATTTTCTTTTTCCTTCTCCTCTTTGTTTCTTTCTTTTTGACACTATATTTTCTTTATTGTCCTTGTTTCAAACATACAACTTCTACCCGACCTCCCCCCACTTTCGTTATTTCCGCTTCCACCTTCTTCTCTATTCCATATTTACCGTTTATCTGCTTCTTATACATCTTTTCATTAGCCTTCCTTCTCACACTGTTTTCATATCCCTCTCCCTACTTCTTCTACTTCTCCTTCAAGGGAAGGAAATGAAAGGGGGTGGGGAAAAGAGATTTCAAGAGAAAGGAGGAGGATTTGGGCGGTGGAGAAGCAGCAGGAGAAAGAGGGTGATAATAAGTAGTAAAAATGACGCCGATTGGAGAACGAGAGAGGTGGAGAGGGAAGACGAGTAGTAGGAGAAGGCGAAAAGTATAAACAGTCGAGTTGAGAGCAATAGAAAAAGAAAAAGATACTATCAAGAAAGAAATGAAAAGGGGAAGGAGAAATTCAAATGCTAGTGACACAAAGGGAGGAGAAGTTGGAGAAATGCTAATAGGAGGTGGGAGATAAATAGTTGAGATAAGAAATAGAGGAAGAAAAAGAGCACAGTGTCAATCAGAAAGAAAGGAAGAGGAAGAGGAGAAGCAGAAGAAGGAGTGAGAGAGAAAGTATTTAAAATAAAGCAGAGACAGGGAAAGATAATAAGAAAACGGAATGAAGAGGTGTGGGAGGAAGCCGTATTGCAGAAGAGGGAGGCGGAGTTGAAAAAAACAAGTTGAAGAGGAGGTGGACGATACGTTAGCAATAGAAGACGAAGAGAGAAGAAAATGTAATGTCAAAGGGAAGGAAATGAAGAGAACAAGAAGTGTGAAGAAGAGTTTGCGGAGTATGTGGAGTAAGAGGAAGAGAGAAGGATAAATAGTTGAGGTGAAAGTAACAGGAGAAGAGAAAGTAAAAAGAAATTATCAATAAGAAGAGGGGAAGGAGAAGCAGAAATGGTTGTGACACAAAGGGAGGAGGGGTTGGAGAACGCTGAGGAATAGGTAGAAGATAACTAGTTAAGATAAAAAATAGAGGGAGAAGAAGACGATGTCAATCAAAAAGAAATAAAGATGACGAGAAGAAAAAAAGAAGACGATTATGGTACTAATGAAGAAGGAGGAATTAGAGAACGATGAAGAGGAGTTTGAGGATAAATTGTTGTGATAAAAAAAAGAGGAAGAAGAAAAATATAATATCAAAGAGAAAGAAATGAAGCGGAGAAGGAGAAGGAGCAGTTGTATGAACGAAGAGGTGGAGGAGTTAGGTACCGTGAGGGGGAGGTTGGGGATAAATAGTTGAGATAAAAAGCAGAGAAAGAATAAAACTATGATATCAAGCAGAGAGAAATGAAGAGAAGAAGGAGGAAGAAGAAATTCTACTAACTAAGCGGGAGGTGGAGTTGGATAACCATGAGGTGGAGGTTGATAATAAATAGTTTAGATAAAAAGCAGAGGAAGAAGAAAAATATAATAGGAAGTAGAGAGAAATGAAGAGGAAGAGAAAATGCTACTAACGAAGAATGAGGAGGAGTTCGATAATCATGAGGAAGAGGTTGAGGATAAATAGTTGAGAGGAAGAAGAAAGGTATAATATCAAGTAGAGAGAAATGAATGGGGGGTGAGGATGAGGAGGAAGAGGATGAGGAAATCCTACTAACGAAGAGTGAGAAGGAGTTCGATAATCATGAGGAAGAGGTTGAGGATAAATAGTTTCGTGGAAGAAGTAAAGTATAATATCCAATAGAGAGAAATGAAGGGGAAGGAAGAGGAGGAAGAATAGGAGGAAATGCTACTAACGTAGAGAGAGGAGGAGTTGGATAATCATGAAAACGAGGCCGAGGATAAATAGTTGAGAGGTAGAAGTAAAGTATAATAGAGAGAAATGACAAGGAAGGGGAGGATAACGACGAAGTGGATAATGGTGATGAAGAGGCAAGAGCTGGCAACGCTACTATAGAGAATAAAGAGAAAAGTGAGATAATGGAGCCCCCAAGAAGATAAAAATGCAGTTTGGTTGTATGGTTTAGATGGCGACTGAAGAACAGAGGAAGAGACTTCGTAGTCAGCGGAAGGACGTATCTGGAAGCGATCCGTAGAGAGCAAAAACTCATCTGCCTATCGCCAACAAAGACGCTTATCAACTTTAGGGTAAAAATCATAATCCTTTTTCCGCGAATGGATTACGAGATATAAATAAACATACAAACTAAAGCCAAAACATAAAGCAAAACCAAAGAGAATTGCTATGAAACGTCAAAAACTACATTCCAAAATAAAAGGAAAATATTTCACTTCCTATTTTCTTTTTTTTAATATTTTTATTTCCCTACGCAAGCGGTATCAAAGTGTTCTATCATCGCAGAGGTATAAGCAATAGCAGCAAAATATTTTCTTTTCTATGTGCTCTGTCAGCGAAAACCCCCAGGGGAGCTGACGGCGGTGTGGAGGAACAGCAAGGGCATCTTAGCGTTAAAGACTTCAGGGCAGAAATGAAGAATTCGCGGAGATCTGCCATAACTTTCCGACTGACTGAATCGAGCTTGTTGGTTAGTTTGTCTGTCAAGAAAAATCTACGAACAGTTAATGGTCCCCTGATGGTACAAGACGCCGAGATAGGAGAACGCTGACAACGACAACGAAGATGGAGACGGAAAAATAAAAACAAATGCCGAATAGTTTCTCACTATGAAGGACAATTATAGAACAACTTGTTGAGGGAATTTGGACCGAACGTCTTTCAATAGAGGTAGAAAGAATATGATTTTTTTTTAATAATCCGACATAAGTCAGTCCGGCTAGGTGGTACCAAAATCATTTAACTATTGACAATTAATAAACTGTGTAGAAATATTTTGGGAAGAAAAATTTATATTAATCATGTCATCGCAACTAAGGCAATAAAGCCACTAAGACACAAGGGGAGTATTGAGTGTGAAAGAATATGGGGAAAACATTATTTAGGAGAAAGAATAATAAAAAGAAGAGAAATTAAGAAGACAGAAGATAACGATTAATATTGAATTTAAATTTGTGAAGATCAAGAAGCAAGAGGCTGGAAGAAAGCTTTATGAGCGAGAAGTGTGTGCGAATAAACTTTTAGTATAGAACCTACGATTAAATTTCATCTGTGAAATAAGACATATCTGCCAATCTAGTATTTCGCCTTAACTTCGTAAAATCAAGGTACCAAAGAGGAAAGCTTATCAGAACAATTGCCATGCAAATATTTATATGAGAGTCACAGGAAAGCCAGGTGATGGCGGATTCAAAGTCACTAATGCTGAGATGTCAGGTTATAGCCAATAACAAAGCCGATTCTTCTTTGGATTTTATCAACAATGTCTAAGTACATAGATTTGATTTTATCAAGAATTTCCAAATACATAACAGATGGGACAGCAATTTTCATTACGTGAACGAATGGTAGAATTATAAATATAGTAGATAGATTCTGGTGCGAAAATTGTCTAGCATAACAGAGCAAAACCAAATTTCCTCGTTAACTTTAATTACAACGGCATCAAAACAAAATTTTTAGTTTCGTTTTGGAGGTGGTAAAATTACCGTTAATATTTTTTGCCACAGTAAACAACAGATTGTAGGTCATTTTTAAGAACAGATTTTAATTCAGACAAGAGTAAATACTTGTGTCATCAGCATAGTTACCGAGTTGAAAAATGATGACACCATATATATATATATATATATATATATATATATATATATATATATATATGTTGAAACTTGACTAATGCATGGAATAATAATACAACACAAAATGTACTTAGAACAAAATGTATTGAAACAAGAAAGTGTACACAATATTTACATATACTCTTTTGTATATTCTTGGGAAGACCGTTCCTGGAGAATGTGTTGACTTAGTCGCAGTCGGGCAGAGTCTCTGGATTGAATCTATTGATTCCTTCCCCTCTCTTCCCGGTACCAACCATATTTATGTGGTCAGTACTCCACTATGCAAATTAGGTGGATCCTACCACAACAATATATATATATATATATATATATATATATATATATATATATATATATATATATATATATATATATATATGAGTGAATATAGTTTTAAGGTATGCTATATTTCTGGGGTAAAGTTCTAAATATCAGAGATAGAGCGTAAGTAAATATAAAAGTGAAAATTGAAGTCAACATTCAGAGGCGAGACTGTTTCACGCTAGCCTCAATGATCAGGCCTGATGATTGCGTCTAGCATGAAACAGTCTGTCTCCCTCTGAGTGTTGACTTTCAATGTTCACTCATATATATATATATATATATATATATATATATATATATATATATATATATATATTTTATGTGTGTGTGTTTAAGCAACAATCCTTCTATCACGCAAACTTCATTAAATATGACAGGCAACGTGCTTTAAGATTTTTATATAATTTCTCATATGATCTTATAATTTTTTTTCTTTTCAGTAGATTAATTATAAAAAAATGTCCAAATGTTAGATTTTTCCGTGCGCTTTCGGCTATACATTTAGCCATTTTTAAGAATGAAACATATTAACTGTTAACTGTAAATAGATTGTGGTATGTATCCATCTATTTCCAGTTAACAGTTAATATATTTCATCCTTAAAAATGCCTAAATGTATAGCCGAAAGCGCTGGGAAAACTATAACATTTGGACAGTTTTTGTATAATTACTCTACTGAAAAGAAAAAATATAGGATCATTTGAGAAATTATATAAAAAATATAATCAAAGCACCTTGTCTGTCATATTTATTGAAGCTTGCATATATATATATATATATATATATATATATATATATATATATATATATATATATATATATAAAATTTAAAACTAACTAACAGATATTATTAATTCGATTTTAATTGTTAGTTGTAACGCTAAAATTTAAATTTGAATGTTATTCTATGCGTGCGTTGATAAAATAATAAAATAAATTTTCTGTAATAAATTCATTCATTTTTGTCGAAAGTTCTGATGAGTGATTGAAAAAAATACAGAACTCTCCCGTCAACTTTCGGTAAGTATTGAATTATATTTTATCCAATTTTATATATATATATATATATATATATATATATATATATATACCAATTAATATTCAAACAAATTCTTTTACGTCACTGTATATATATATATATATATATATATATATATATATATATATATATATATATATATATATATATACGTGTGTGGGGGGGTGGGATGTATGTGTGTGTAATAATGTGTGTATGTGTGAGTGTGTAATAATTTATAATAAAAACAAAACAATTCCCGCAACAGTTTTTGGACTGTGTTTGCAGATTTTCAAGAAAGTTTAATCCAATTTTCAGTAGATTTTTAGCGAACTGATACTATTTTCAATTAATTTTTTTTTTTATAAATTAATGGATATAATAGGTATAAGTATATAAACTCGCACAAACACATATATATATGTATATATATAATAGGTGCGCTTAAGTATAGGTATGCATATCTACAAAGGTACGTATATATATATATATATATATATATATATATATATATATATATATATATATATATATAAAATAAAGATAATTTTTTTAAGTGCTTACTATTTAGAATATAATATAGCGTAAATAATTTTAAAGAGAAAAAATATAAAGAAACGGACTTTATATGAAAACATCTTACACTTGAAAAGTGGACATGAACCACAAAATGGCGTAGCCGGGAGAAGAATAAAGAATAATTAAAAAACGGATATTAATTTAAACTAACGATATTTCTCAATGTAAAAATAATATTTTCACTCTATTACATTCTAAATATTGAGCGTTTTTAAAAATTCCCTTTTGAAAAATTTAATCCTTATTAATAAGCTCCAGAAAAAAAACTGTTCCAAGTTGAGCACTTTACGGACATTTCATGTTCTCCAAAAACCATGGAACTTACACTACTGGAATATTCTACCAAAAATATTCCTGCAAAAATTATAAAGAAATCCAAAATTAAACTTATTGAAAAAGTAGAAAATTTTATAAAAAGATAAAGTTGGAAAGTATTTTACTTTCTTAGCAATGATAGGGACAATTTCGGATTTTTGTCAGCAAAATATCCACTACAAGTAGAAGAGCCGATTGATTTTAAAACTGATTTAATAAATATTATATATAAAATAGAAATAATAAAAAAAATAATAAATTAAAAAAAGATAACTATATTAAACTAACAAATAATTCAAATAAACTATTTGTTCAAGCAAATAAATCAAGAACAATATATAAAATGGATCATATTAATTATAATAAACTTATCAAAAATGAAGTACATAAATTTTATAAAACCACCAATAATGAACCAGAGTATAACATAAATAAAGAAGCCAAAATTATAGCAACAAAATTAAAATTAGGTAACAGAATAAAACTGGTAACCAAAGTGGAACCATTTATTAAACTAAACATCCTAAATATTTTTTTTAAAATTTAACCTACATGTGTAGATTATTAAATGCTACAAAAAGTAATATAAGAAAAATTAGCAAACAAATAATAGAAAAATGTTCAAAATTAAGAAAATTATTAACTATAAATAAATGGAGAATACAAAAGAAACTATCAATTGGTTCAAAAATATTACAAACAGAAATGATAGCATTTTTATAAAAGTAAACATTAAAGATTTTTACCCATCTATTACTGAAAATATATTAAATAAAAGGTTAGATTTAGCTAAACAACATATAAAAATTCAAATAGAATTGCATATAATTAAACCTTGTAGAAAATCACTACTATGATGCAACAATAAAATATCGTTAAAAAGCACTATAACAATAAAAATAACTTTGACGTAACAATGGGTAGTTATGATGGGTTTTGGGAAATGAGAACAAATAGGAATATATATTATACATAATTTATCATATATATAAATAAAAAGATATAGACATATACAGAGATGATGGTCTGATAGTTATAACAAATTACAATGGTAGAAAAATACAAAAAATAAGAAAAATAATAGAAATATTAAAAAAAATTAGGATTTATAATAGACAAAAAATCTAATGTATACCAATATCTATTAATAAAAGATTCGCTACTAATTCTAGCAATGCA